ATCATGGCAGGAAGCAAAAGCCACTTCTTACATGGTGGTGGCAAGAGAAAAATGAGGAAGAAGCAAAACCAGAAACCCTGATAAACCTATCAGTTCTTGTGAGACTAATTCACTATCATGAGAATAGCACAGAAAAGACCAGCCCCCATGATTTAATTACCTCCCTCTAGGCCCCTCCATAACATGTGGGAATTCTGGGAGATATAATTCAGGTGGAGATTTTGGTGGGAACAAGGCAACCATGTTATTCCACCCCTGGCCCATCCAGATCTCATATTCTCACATTTCAAAACCAATCATGTCTTCCCAACAGTCCCCTAAAGTCTTAACTCACTTCAGCAATAACCCAAAAACCCACAGTCCAGTCTCATCTAAGACAAGGCAAGTCCCTTTACCTATGAGCCTGTAAAATCAAAAGCAAGCAAGTTACTTCCTATATACAGTGGGGGTATGGGTCTTTGGTAAATACAGCTGTTCCAATGGGATAAATTGGCCAAAACAAAGGGGGCCCATGCAAATCTGAAATCCAGTGGGGCAGTGAAATCTTAAAGCTCCAAAACGATCTCCTTTGATGCCATGTCTTGCATCTGGGTCACACTAATGCAAGAGGTGGTTTCCCATGGTCTTGGGCAGCTCCACTCTTGTGGCTTTGCAGGGTACAGCCTCCTTCCTGGCTACTTTCATGGGCTGGCACTGAGTGTCTGTGTTTTTCCAGGGGCATGATGCAAGCTGCCAGTGGATCTACCATTTTGGGGTCTGGAGGACAATGACCCTCTTCCCACAGTTCCATTAGGCAGTGCCCCAGGAGGGACTGTGTGTGGGGACTCCAACCCCATATTTCCCTTCTGCACTGCCCTAGCAGAAGTTCTCCAGGAGTGCTGCTCTTATGTAGCAAACTTTTGCCTGGGGATCCAGGCATTTCCATACATCTTCTGAAATCTAGGTGGAGGTTCTCAAATCTCAAGTATTGACTTCTGTACGCACAGAGGCTCCACACTATATGGAAGCTGCCAAGGCTTGGGGTTTCCCCCATCTAAAGCCACAGCCTGAGCTCTACATTGTCCCCTTTCAGCCAAGCTGGAGTGGCTGGGACACAAGACACCAAGTCCCTAGGCTGCAGACAATATGGGGACCCTGGGCCCAGCCCACACAACCACTTTTTCCTACTGGGCCTCTGGCTTGTGATGGGAGGGGCTACTGGGAAGCTCTCTGACATGGCCTGGAGACATTTTTCCCATGGTCTTGGGGATTAACATAAGGCTCCTTGCTACTTACGCAAATTTTAATTTCTATAGCTGGCTTGAATTTCTCAAAAAATGGGTTTTTCTTTTCTACTGCATTGTTAGGCTGCAAATTTCCTGAACTTTTATGCCCCATTTCCCTTTGAAACAGAATGCTTTTAGCAGCACCCAAGTCACCTTTTGAATGCTTTGCTGCTTAGAAATTTCTTCTGCCAGATAACCTAAATCATCTCTCTCAAAGTTCAAAGTTCCACAAATCTCTAGGGCCAGGGGCAAAATGCTGCTAGTCTCTTGCTAAAATATAACAAGTCATTTTGCTCCAGTTCCTAATAAGTCCTATCTCCATATAAGACCACCTCAGCTGAGACCCTTATGTCCATATCATTATCAGGCTTTTGGTCAAAGCCATTCAACAAGTCTCCAGGGAGTTTCAACTTTCCCACATTTTCCTGTCTTTTCTGAGCCCTCCAAACTGTTCCAACTCCTGCCTATTACCCAGTTCCAAAGTCGCTTCCACATTTTCAGGTATCTTTTTAGCAATGCCCCACCGTACAGGTCCAATTTACTGTATTAGTTTGTTTTCTCGCTGCTGATACAGACATATCCTAAATTGAGGATAAAAAGAAGTTAAATTGGACTTACAGTTCCATATGGCTGGGGAGGCCTCAGAATCATGGCAGGAGGCAAAAGGCACTCCTTACATGGTGGCAGCAAAAGAAAAATGAGGAAGAGACAAAAGTGGAAACCACTGATAATCCCATCAGATCTTGGTGAGACATATTCACTATCATGAGAATAGCATGGGAAAGACTGGCTGCCATGATCCAATTACCTCTTCCTGGGTCCCTCCCACATCATGTGGGAATTCTGGGAGATACAATTCAAGTGGGATTTGGGTAGAGACACAGCCAAACTGTAGCATTCACTTTAACGATTTCAAATTTATATGGGGTCTTCTGTTCTTCCTTGAAGTTTCGAGAAACTTTATTTTAAATTAGAGTTATAAAATTGAATTCTGCCTCATCACACTCTTCTCTAAGTATCTCTGACTTACTGTGTACTATAGCTTTTGAAACTCAAAAGCCAAGACTTGACATCTTTGTTCTCTAGTTCTACAGGGACAACTCCCACTGAGCACAATGTGGCCCCCTGTCTAATGACTTCAAAAGCAGAAAGGAAGTATGGGAATAATAGAAATGATGGGTAGATGAAAGGGAAGAAGAGAAATGTATCAGTTAATATCCACCACATAAACTTGTTTTTACCCTTTTCAAATTAAAGTATTTGAGACCAGCAGAAAAGCAAGAACAGAGATCGCAGCATTCCCTACACTACTGGTATTTTTTTTTAAAGGTGACACTATTGCGCCCCTTATCAGTAGAGCATATACTTGGATTAGGTTTTTTATGTGTATTCATTTTTAATTAACCATTCACCAGAATCTCCTCCACCCTACACTTTTGATCAGTGATACACACCAGATGAACAGTAACTAAGAGATAGGGGTATCACCTACAATGGCACAGCCAACAGAACTAATTATTTATACATAGGATTCTCTTAAAACACCAGATTATAAGCCACAAGTCTCTTAGAGTTAAGAACACTATAAAAATTAACAGCAGTCCTACTACAGTGCAGAGATGCATGCCAATTTTTCTTGGGCTTTCTTCTTTATGTTGTATTTGTGGCATAGGCTAAAACCACAGGGTTAGTAGGGATCAAGAGATCAACAGGAGATGCCCTACATGCTCAAATAGAAGAGAAGTCTTTCCTTCAAAGGCTTACAGGAGTTTCCACAACCCTCCATAGTAAATTTGTTCAACATTTCTCTGACAGAAAATGTATTCATTAAAAAGAAGTCATGCAGCTGCTGAACAAGTTTTGACTGTTACTTTCTAAATCGTGGTGATAGAAACAGTAATCACCATGGCTTTCGGGGGAAAACCTTAACACATCCGAAGGTCATTCCTGAAGCTTTCAAAGAGACTAGTACATAAAACAAAACAAAACTGACAATGACAAAAACAATGAAACAGACATTTGAAACATTTTAACATTTGTGAAGCTAATATTGAGGTTTTAGGTTATAAAACAGACTACTTAGGAGAAAAGGCCTGGAGAAGAGGAAATCTCTCTCATGATTAAATACATTTATTAAGTGTATAACAGTATGCAGTGTTATATTAGTTGCTGTGCAGAAAGTTCAGGGATTATTTTTTGTATCAGACAGCTTTTGTTGTGTAGCAAACTATTAACAAATACTCCAAAACTAGTGGCTTAAAAGAGCAAACACATTAGTTCTTGAAGTTCTGAGAGTTGGCTGGGTGTCCTGGTCAGTGCCAAACAGCTCAAGGCTCACTCACATTTCTGGCACTTAGCAGGCTAACTGGTCTGAGGTGGATATACTATGTGTGGCAGTTGGCCCAAGGTTAGTTAGAGAAATGGCCATGATCTCTCATTATCCAGCAAGCTAGCTGGGGCTCATTATCTTGGTGATGAAAGGATTTCCAGCATCAGGAGAGGCCAGTCCTCTATGCACAAGAACTATTCCAGCTTCTGCATGCATCCTACTTTCTAATGTTCCATTGGTCAAAGTAAGTCATGCTGGATTTAAACCTCTCACAGAGGTATAAAAAAAATACTCCAGGGGCAAAAAGGTTAAAATCCTAACTATGGTTCAGATAAAAACTCAGATTTGGTATTGGGTATCTATTTTGGTCCCAAGGAGGAAGGAGTATATCTCTTGACTAAAAAGGCATGCATAGAGAGATTAGAGAAATTTGTGGCCATGTTATAATCGCCACTTCATGCATCTTTGTCTCAGTTAAGATGAGGCAATAATTTCAGCTGTATGTGAGTTGAAAAGAAGGTCAAAGCAAAGGTTATTCTAGGAGACTTTTACATAGCTTCTTTTGCTATTGCTACTGAACAGAACGTATGTAAATTCTAAGGATTTAGAATTAGATGTAAAATGAATACACTGTGTAACTAACACTTGTCTGGAAAGAGAATATTACCAACACCCAGTAGTTTTTCCTCAACATGTATCCCTGCTTCAACATTACTCAACTCTCCTTCTCAAAGGTAACCACTATTCTGACTCGATTAATTTTGCCTGTTTTACAACTTTGTATAGATGGGATCATATAATGTGCATTTCTTTGTCTGGCTTTGTATTCAGCATTTATGCTTGTTAAATGCATCCATGTTGTTTAATGTCACTGTGGTTTTATCATTTTCATCACTGTATAGTATTCCATTGCATGAATATACCACAAATTTGAATGTCTGTTGTTATTTCAAATTTTGGCTGTTGTGCATGTCTTTTGTTGTACCTGTGTGCACATTTTTATTGGATACCTAAGAGCAGAATTGCTGAATCAGGTCAGGTGTAGTGGCTCACACCTGTAATCCCAGAACTTTCGGAGGCTGATGTAGGTGAATCAGGAGGTCAGGAGTTTGAGACCAGCCTGGCCAACATGGTGAAATCCTGTCTCTACAAAAAATACAAAAATTAGCCAGGCATGATGGCAGATGCCTGTAATCCCAGCTACTCAGGAGGCTGAGGCAGAAGAGTCGTTTGAACACAGGAGGTGGAGGGGTGCAGTAAGCCAAGATCACACTACTGCACTCCAGCTGGGCAACAGAGCAAGCTACTGTCTCAAGAAAAAACAAACAAAAACGGCTGACTCATAGGAAACATGTATGTCAAATTTAGCTAACACTATGCAACAATTTTCTTATTATTTATTCTAAAAACATCAGGCTATAAAACATTTTAGTGTTCACTGGTTTGTGAACACTGAGCATAGAAAGAGCCACTTTCTCTTTGCCAGATATTACAGACACAGCAGAACAACTGCATCTATGGGCTGGCAATCCAGGATAGCATCTGCGGGACAGTGCAACCATTTTCTTTACACACTTTCATGCATACATTTTATCTCCTTTTGGTGTCCTAGGTTTTACTTAAGCTAATGCATTTTTGCCTTCCTTTTTCTCTCTGTTTTAACCATTAAAATGCTTTATCTGGATTTCAATTTGATTAATAGTCACCCTGAATTTAAAATTTCATAAAACCTCAAGAATCCAAAGTGTATCAAATCATTCTGCCGAGGATTCAAGGAAAATAACTAAAATGTTCCCCCATTCATTTATCAAATGCTCATTGAACAATTATAAGCAATTTTTTACATTGAACCTGGGGATATAAAGAAATGTAAAATTCAACTTCCAATCTCTGAGAAGTATCTACAGTAGTTGACGACTCTTTCATCAGTAGCTGTCTATCCCTTTCCCGTGCCTTCCTGTCCTCCTGTCACTTCTACAATAGTTGCCCGCAGCATATGTAAGTGATGCATAGCAGGTTGACAGCTGTAAATGGAATTATTCGTGCTACTGTAGACAGCATCTTTCATTTACACAAACCATTTTCTCTTCTCTCCTTTACCTCTTTGGATAACTATCCATGAGTTTAGTCTTTTCCTTTTCTGGACAAAAAAATATTAAAGACAAGAGCAAAATTGTTCTAGAAACTTCAGGAATGGTGGTAATATTCATTTTTCACATTTTTTCAAGAGTCTGTATATATTTGTGTATAATGGGATTTTCAGACTACATTTATATTGTGTAAAAAGATTGAAAGTGTTCACAATGTTCTTGCCGTTCAGTATTTCATATTGTAAAACGATCTGCAGACTATGTTGCTTGTTAAGGTAATGTGCTCAAGTATCTTTGTGGCTTAAGGAGGTATTACAACTCCAAAATAGCTACGGTCAGTCCTTCTCACTGGTAAGATAAAGCCAATTGTTGTTTGTGAACTGAATTGTTGCCCCTGTGCAGGGCACTTCAAAGCCCAGAAAGAGTGCTGTGAAAGGAGGGCTTCTCTGTAATTTATAAAATGGAGCACTGATTTCTAGTAAAACAATTACCTTCATCTAAAAATCTCTCATTTAGATGTTTCCACAAAGTATTAAAAGATACCCAAAGGTCCCTTATTGAATTTTTTTCATCAGTAGCTTTACTGAGTCTGTACTTATTTCCATCTATAGTTAAAGAGCTGCAAGCAAAAGTATGCAAGCAAAAGTATAATATGGTGGGCATAGCTGCTTGTACCAAATGATTCAAACTATTCATCAACAGGAAAATCCTTGAATTCATACAGATACTTTCAGTGCATGTGGTACAAATCCAAATCAAAGTAGCTTAAGTAGAAAGAGGATTCATTGGCTCATATAACTGGGAGGCTAACTTCAGCCACAACTCAATTCGAGGACTCACAAAATTGTTTGGACTTTGCTCCTCTCTCTGGGCTCTGCTTCCTTTTGAGCTGTACTAATCTTCTTCTACTGTAGACTACCTTTCTCCATGGGTCAGTGAATGCTCCACTCCAATAAACATTATTCCTGCTCTGCTATGCCCTTAGACGTGGCCATGTATTTCATGGCCAAATAGAAAAACTAGGAGAGAACTCCTTGTGACCCAGCTTAGGTCATATGCTCTCTCCTGAACCAATTACAGTTTCCCCGGGAATGGAGTACTAGGTGTGGCCACACCAGGAAGTTATTTGTTGGCCGGTTCACTAGAATCATTTCATCAGAGAGAGAAAAAATCTTCAGACAAAAAGCAGCAAATGTTCCGTACAGCTCTCACAGGGGTTTCACATATATTGGTCACAAAAATAGTTTTGGGGCAGGGAAGATCTATGATTAAGCAAAACAGGGTGCTATATAAAGAATGGAAATCACAATGACTTCTAATTGCAGTAGATTCAATCTCATTTGCCCAATTTTTTAGGTATCTCAATGCATGAAATTACTGATTAAACAACTAATTCACTTTAACAGCCACTTGACTGTCACTGAAGTATCTGATCAAAAATCAAGGTGTTAGCTCTGTGAGGTGGTATGTGCCTGCAGTCCTAGCTGCTTGGGAGGCTGAGGTGAGGGGGAACCACTTGAGCCCAGGAGGTTGAGACCAGCCTGGGCAATATAGCAAAACCCGGTCTCTAAATATAAAAAGATGGTTTAAAAAAAAAAGAAAAGAAAAATAGATTAAGGTGCCTGCAAAAGTGAACCCTCCACTATTGGGGTGATGGACTTGGGGTGATGATGTGTCAATGTAGGTTTGTCAATTGTAACAAATGCACCCCCCTGGTGGGGGTTGTTGATAATGGGAAGGCTATGCACAGAGGGTACCTGGGAAATCTCTGTACCTTTTGCTTATTACTGCTGTGAACCTAAAATTGCTTTAAAAGATGAAGTCTACTAAAACATTAAAAAATACATACATAAAAAATGGTATTAGATAACGTAATTATCTAACATAGCATTAAAAATAATTTAATAGTCGGCTGGGCACTGTAGCTCACGCCTGTAATTTCAGCACTTTGGGAGGCCGAGGTGGGCGGATCACAAGGTAAAGAGATCGACACCATCCTGGCCAACATGGTAAATAAAACCTCTTCTCTACTAAAAATACAAAAATTAGCTGGGTGCGGTGGGGCGCACCTGTAGTCCCAGCTACTTAAGAGGCTGAGGCAGGAGAATCACTGGAAACGGGAGGCAGAGGTTGCCGTGAGCTGAAATCACGCCACTGCATTCCAGCCTGGCAACAGAGCAAGGCTCCATCTAAAAAAAAAATAAAAAAGAAATTATGTCCTTTGTCACAACATGGATGCAGGTAGTGTCTATTATCTTAAGCAGACAATAGGAACAGAAAACCAAATACCGTATGTCTCATTTAAAAGTGGAAGCAAATATGGACATAAACATGAGAACAGTAGACACCATGGACCACTAGAGAGGGGAGGGAGGGATGGGGATGGGGGCATGAGTCGAAAAACTACCTGTTAGGTTCTAGCTCATTACCAGGGTGTGATATACCTGTGTAACAATCCTACACATGTATTCCCGTATCTAAAATGAAAGCTGGAATCCGAGCACAGTGGCTCACACCTGTAATCCCAGCACATTGGGAGGCTGGGGCAGGCAGATGGTGAGGTCAGGAGTTTGAGACCAGCCTAGCCAACATGGTGAAACCCTGTCTCTACTAAAAATACAAAAATTAGAGAGGCATGGTGGCAGACCCTGTAATCTCAGCTACCCATGAGGCTGAGGCAGGAGAATTGCTAGAACCCAGGAGGTGGAGGTTGCAGTGAGCCAGGATCGTGCTACTGCACTCCAGCCTGGATGACAGAGCAAGACTCTGTCTCAAAAAAATAAAATAAAAGCTGAAATTTATAAAAGGATAAATGATGAAAATGATTTCAATTCACAATGCATAAGTACTGATTAAAAGGCCTTTTAACACATGGGGTTTGAATTGCAGCTTGATGAGTAGCAAGGTAGATGTGCTGAGTTTTGAAAGATTTGGATAAGCAAACAGAAAATGCTATTTCAAGTGAAGGGTACACTGGAGGCAGACATCCAGAGATAAGAAAGAACAGTGTTTTTCGGGACAGTAAGTAACCAGCCCTGTCCAGCAGGGTTTGTGCAGCAAGGCAATCAGCAAAAAACATTTTCACTTGTCAAGTGGGATCATGTGGCTGAGAGTCCTGTCTCTGCCACATCTGGCTGGGTAACCACCAGTGTGCAAGCTGTAAAACTGGGATATTTCTTACCTTACAGTTGTTCCTGTAAAAATTAGACACTGGCATGCCTGTCACATCGTCGTGCTTAAAGGATGGCAGCTCCTACAGCAAACATTAAGGAAAGACAGGTTGAAATTGAACTTCAAAAAAAAAACAATAAAGTAACAGGGTGGAAATTTACATTTATCCTATAGGCTGGAAGAGTCACTGCTTCAACATATAAGGCAGTGACAGGATGAAAATAATGCTTTCAATTAATCTGATTCTAGGTGGATGATACGTAAGAGGTCACTGCATTGTTCTCTCAGCTTTTCTGAATGGCAAACATTTTTCAAAGTATTAGTTTTTATTGTTTTAGAACTTGATTATTTCTGCTTCCTCCTGCAATAATTTAGGCTCAACTGAAGTCTCTGTTGCTCATGTCTGTGTCCTCAGCAACTAGCAGAGTACCTGACACACTGCAGAGATGACCAATAAACTACTGTCTAACAGTTCAAACAGAAAAGAGAAAGTAAAAAGGGCCAGAACTATGGTGACAGCAGTTCGAGTGGGAAGATACAGCATGCCAAAGTTTTTCCAAAGAAATTTGGTGATTTGGACATAGAATAGCAATAAAAACCCCGGTGATGGGAGATCGCTGGAACCAATTGCACGACATTAAAAATATGCAGATTTGAGGAAAAATGAATCGTATTTTCCATCCCTGGATTACAGGGAGAAAGTAGGCCAATTTAGTGCAGAACTAAAACTTGACAAAAGTTTTAGAGCAATTTAGCCAGTGGGGATTGCTGAGGTTAGCAAAGTAAAAGGTTTTTCAAGAAAAATGAAGGACCTCATCCTCCCACTCTATGAGAAGCAGAAACTGAAAAATGACCTTCTTTGTATTACAAATCGTGCCATTCCAAAATTAAGTAATAGTTTTTAAGAGTCTAGAGTGGAGTCACAAATTAGCGACAGTAGTTTACCTGTAGATGACTTTGAACAGCTTAATTCTGGCCTGTTTAATAATTGTCAACATTTAAAAATCAGAAGCTACATAAAAATTCTGATTCTTTAATTCTTTCAAACATCAGGCAGATGGTCAACCTTGTCTTCGTTTTTACAGGTAGAACTGGATGAAGTGAGTAAATGCTGCTGCTTTAAATGACTCCGATTCACTACCCAATTTGTCTCATTTGTGATATTCACCTGGCCCTGTAGGTACTGAAGTTTGTGAATCCTGGTCTAGGGCATTATGTCAGCTTTAATGACAATGGTAAGAATAAAATCAGTAACAGCAATAATAGCAGACTGAGCACT